CCATAGTAATATCACCTCAGAAACCCAAGGAGGGGTCGCTATGAGTCGGATCCGACTCGACCACAGTGAGTTTGGTTTTTTTTTAAGCAATTGTTAGCAATCTGGCCATGGACCTAGATAGACCAAGAATTTCACAGAAATGTAAAATTATAATTAAATAATCAATTAGTAGAAGGGTTGAAGCAAAATCACATCTTGGTCATGTGGTACTTTAGAAGCTCTAATTGGTGCTCAGTAACAATAACATGCTGACAACAATAATAATTATGAATTTTGTAGCTGTGCTTGTATAGTGCATATTATGGGTCTGCTGCTGTGTGGCATACTTTAAAGATCATGAACTCATTTCCGTGTTCTAGAAACCTTATTAGGCAAGTATTCTATTATGATCCCCATTTTACATTCAAAGAAACTGAGACCCAGAGGAAACTAACTAACTGCCTTGATGAAAGGTGAAGCCTAGATTTGTCCCCAAGAATTTGCCCCACAGTCTTGGCTTTTGACCACTCTTAATGCCAGCAGCGCACTAGAGGGGAATTCTCAAGTTGGTAAGTAGGGTTGACATTGTCCCTGAGCAAGGTAAGGGATTAAGACAGAACTGGAGTCTCTGCTTAGGCTAGGAGGTTGTGTAAATGGTGAAGAGGTCCAGACTGAAAAAAATGGAAGAATGCCTGCATGAAGGCATTTACATTAAAAAAAAAAAAAAAAAAAAAATTAAAATAGCACTATTCACACAAAAGAAGCTGCTAGCTGGCCTGGTGCCCTGGTATCTGCTACTCCTGGTCCAGGTGATCTCTGAGGTTCCTTTCAGGGCTAATTAATATCTTTGGAATATCAGAAATTTTTGCTCAGAGTCCACAGTGACTTGGCATTATTAATGTATTAATGTGTACCAGTAGTCCACAATCTGGTCAGGTTGTAAATAACCCTAGACTGTTGAATTCATTCAATATTATGAATTTGTCTTTTTTTAATCTGACCTAACAAAGGATTTATTAACAATGTAGTGGTTAATAACATGGACTCCGGAGCTAGACTGCCTGATTTGCATTGTGGGTTTGCCACTTTCTAGCAGCATGACTCTGAGCATGATACTTGACCTTTCCATGCCTCTGTTCTTGCATCTGCAAAATGGGGATGTTTATAGTTCAACTAAGGAGCTCTAGTGGCACAATGCCTAAGGCATTTGACTGCTAACCAGGAAGTTGGTAGTTCAAACCCACCAGCCACTCTACTGAAGGAAGACCAGACAACCTACATTCATAAAGATTTACTACCTGGAAACCTAATGGGGGTTGCTACGAGTCAGAATCCACTTGATGGCAGTGGATCTGATTTATAGTTCAACTAACTCACAGAGTTGATTTGAAGATTTGTGTTATTGTTGTTATATGCCAATGAGTCGGATCCAACTCATAGTGACCCCTCCTTGGGTTTCCAAGGCAGTATCACTATGGAAGTAGATTGCCCAACCTTCCTTCTGAGGAGTGGCTGGTGGGTTTGAACTGCCAGCCTTCTGGTTAGCAGTCAAGTGCCTTAGGCACTACACTACCAGAGCTCCTATTTGAAGATAAGAGGGTTAATATATATAAAAGATATACAGTCATAACTAACAAATAGTAAGCACCAATGTCCTGGTTACCTAGTGCTGCTCTGACAGGAATGTACCACAAATGGTATGGCCTTAACCAACAGGAGTTTATTCTCTTACAGTTTGGAGGCTTTAAGTCCAAGTTCAAAGTGCCAGGCTCTAGTAGCTGGGTGAAAGCCCCTCAACCTTGGGCTTTAGCTCTGCCTCCTGCTCCCGGCCCACTAAAGGGAGAGGCTTTTCTTCACTCAGACAGCTGCTGGCTGCTGAGACTGACAAGCCCAAGTTTGACAAGTAAAAAGGCTCAGTCCCAATGTTACCAAACCACACGGCAGGCCATTGATTCAAGTCCATTGAAAGTCCCAAGGTTGGCAGAGCATGGCAGACTGATCAACGACAACTTGCCATTAGCTGGAGACCATTCCCCAAGCCTTCTCCTTATATACAGGAAGCACACCACATTCCTAAGGCAGCTACTCAACTGCTCAGAGTGGATTCCACCATGGAGTTGATTACCAGTCTCATCATGGGGAATACTACATTCAGCTGCCCAGCCACTCAACCAGGCCCAGCCAAGCTGACACACAAATTTAAGCACCACAACTGTATATGTGTTAGCTATTATTATCACTGTCCAAAAATGACTGTAGATAAAAATATGTTTCTAACTTTTGAGATACAATAAACTATTATGATCTGTAGTAAAATAAAATGTATCTTCAAGGCTTTATTTGACAAGGTCCTGTTTCTTGTTCCTGCAGGACTGTTGGACATTGCACAAGACTGATGGGAAGAAGTGCAAGGAGCAAGGCCCTCAGGGATGTGGTTTCAGCCTCCACACTGCACCAGCTATTGGAAGGTAAAATTTTAAATACCTGGTCTCTGAAACAAGAACTGAAACATTAGCAGTACTTGGTCACTATGAGTTTTGAGAAACAAGTTTATTTGTTTGAATTCTGGAGAAAGTAGAAGAGAATCAGCTTGGGATAAGAAAATTGGATTTTCCTTTCTACTCTACTTTAGAGCTCCTTCCTCCTGCCTCATATGGGGTTATAGAGATTATAGAGTGTGTTGTTGGCCACTTTGTGGTGACCTGCCTTGCCCCATTGTTCTTTGGTGCTGTAGTTGGATCTAGGCTGCTCCTGAACACCCAGCTCATTGCTCCATTTTCTGCACAAAGTCATCCTGGCTAGTCAGTGCACACTGAAAAACAAACCAAATTCACTGCCACTGAGTCGGTTCCGACTCATAGCAACTCCTCCTCGGGTTTCCAAGGCTGTATCTCTACAGAAGTAGATTGCCCAATCTTCCTTCTGAGGAGTGGCTAATGGGTTTAAACTGCCAGGCTCCTGCTTAGCACTCAAATGCCTTAGGCACTATGTCACCAGAGCTCTCCAGTGCACACTGGTCATGAATAAATGCATAAACAGAGATCCTTACACCATTTGACACCTAATTATATATTATTATGTATTGGTTGTTAGTTGTTAGTTTATTGTGATCATCCATCCACCTATTTAGAGAACATTCATTCATTTCATCAGTCAAAAACTATCAATTGAGACTTACAGCCTTGATCATTTGAAGTAGGTGTGGCTTTTTTGGAAAGATTGTGTGTATATATTTTGTACATATAAACTTTGGTAATTTTTTCTACAACTGTACTAGGAGTTAAAGTTTTCTCCTTTACAGTCACCTCTCTAAATTCCATCCACTCCTCACTTATCGACATGGTATGAAAATTGGTGTTATGCAAAATGGAGGATGACTATATTATTACATAACTGCCAAATTACATCATTACTTAACTGTCAAATTACATCTTTACCTAACTGCCAGACTGCATCATTACATAACTGCCAAGACTGAGAATCACAGCCCAGTCAAGTTGACACATAACCTTAACCATCACAGCCAGAATTACTCTCGCTTCTCACCTTGGTATTCATTACTGCCAGACATATGTTTTTAATACACAAAATAATCGGATAGTAGATTTTTTTTCTATTGTCATAAATGGGAATATTGGATAATGAGATTTTTGATAAGTGAGAAATTATGTGTATTGCCTCTAGCCTCCTTAGGGGAAGGGACAATTTAACATATACCAAGATTTGCAGTTTTCTAGATATTACTCAAGGAACCCAGGTGGCGTGAGTAAGTGCTGGACTGCTAACTGAAAGGTCAGTGGTTCAAATCCACCAGCTGTACCACAGGACAGAAGGCCTGGCAATCTGCCCCTATAAAGACTGTGTTGTTAGGTGCCATCAAGTCACTTCTGGCTCATAGTGACCCCATGTACAACAGAACAAAACACTGCCAGTCCTGCGCCATCCTCACAATCATTGCTAGTTTTGAGCCCATTGTTGCAGTCACTGTGTCAATCCATCTCATTGACCATCTTGCTCTTTTTGACTGACCCTCTTCTTTACCAAGCCTAAGACACCGTATAAGGCAATTCTGCTCTGCCATATAGGGTCACTATGAGTTTGAACTGACTTGACAGCACACAACAACAACAACAGATATTACTCACTTCCCCTCATACAATGGACTTGGATGATATTCCCAGTTGGGTAAACAAACAATTTCTAATGAGCCTATATAGAAGGGCATGAGAAATTTGCTGTAAGATGTAAAAGCAGTTGGAATCTTTCTTATTCAATTCAACAGAACATTTTTTCAGCATCTACTGTAAGCCAGATAATGTACCAGTTGTTAGGCATACAAAGTGAGATCCAATCGTCATAGAAAGACCAACTGGTCAACATGTGATTTTAGTGAGATGCATGTCCAGGTGATTGAGAAACTGCAGAGACCTTGGAGAGGGGCCCTTAGTCTAGCCTGGTGATGGAGATAGAAGGAGGTATTAGCAGAGAGTGGGCTAGTGTAAAGCTGCTGTGTTTCAGAAAGGAGGTTCACGCTGACCAGGGCTGCTGGCTTTTTGCGCCCCTAAGAGTGGGTGTCCCAGTTCGAGGAAGGGGTAGGCTGCATTATATTTACATCTGTGAATTCTGCCCTAGACCACCCCAGGAGAGAATAAAGGCTCTGGGAGATCTGGTACATTGCTTCAGGAGGATCCTTGGGCCGAAGCCCCTGCACCACACCCTCGGCCTGGGCCAGGTGTGCGCCCTTCTTGCAGCGAGGGGGGAGCCTTGCGGCTGGGTGAGCGCTTTCAGGGCTCCGTGTGTGCTGTGTGTTTGTCTGCCTCCTGAGGGCTGGGTCCTCCTTATTCACAGGTGAGTCACACCCTGAAACGCAGGCTTTCTTCCTGTCAAGACTGAGTCAGGTAGGAGAGTCGATAAAAACCACCTGATCAAGGAAAAGGAAAGCACAGCAGAGCGCAGAGTGAAAACTACCAACCGAGAGGCGCCTGGCAGCGACCCCTGCAGCAGCTGACGGCGCCCCAGCCATGCCTGCGCTCTGGCTAAGCTGCTACCTCTGCTTCTCGCTGCTCCTGCCCGCAGCCTGGGCCACCTCCAGGAGGGAAGGTGAGTCGACTTCTAGGAGAGCGTCTCAGCCCTGTCTGTGAACTTGCCTTTCTCTGCAGACTGTGATGGCTGAACGCACCTCCAAGGACTCCACTTCGCTGAGAACCTCTTTGGAGCTCCTTCCTCCTGCCCCATCCGGGTTTTTTTCCAAGATCGGTATAATATGAGACTAAAATCGTATATCACGCACACATATATATGATATTATATAAAGCTGTCTGATTTTTAAAATGTGGTACCAATAGGTTGTCCCAAACCGGGGTTTCCTTTCTTTAAAAGGTTCTTTCTTGATTTCTTCTTGACCAAGAAACCCCTGTTTAATCAGCAATGTATCGATATATAAATTCTTTCCCGACGTATGTTTTTACTAATGGGGTTTTGGTAGGAATGTTTTCTGTGACTGTGAACACCACACAGATTAAATAAATAAATAAACAAATAAATAAAAGAGCCTCTTCAATAACCCTTCTGGAATCCACCTTTCATGTATGGACTAGAAAAGGAGACTTAGAATACTAATAATGCTTCACTTTTCCATAATGCTACTTCTCATAGTATTTTCATGTAATATCCATTCTACAGGCATTTATTGAGCACCTATATCATATCTCACTTGCTCTCACCTACTGGCTGTCATATCCTGAGAAGTTAAGCTCATGTAAACAAACCTTTCTGAGATCTTAGCAATTGTTTACTGTATGCATGTGTCAGCTATGACAACTCATAACGGGTGTTTTCCTTGTTGCTTAGTTGTATCGATGATACTTGCCTGTAATTAACCTGGATTTTTGTTTATATTGCTTTCTGCCCCTGATGGCATTTCAATAATCATTTCAGTAGGTCCATGTTATTTTCACACACATGTATATGTAAATTTGAGATGATGTTCTTGTGAACATAGACTTATATTAGACATTCCATTTGTAACCATGCAGTCTGGATGATGTTGACATGAATTGTATTTGAGCATGTGTTTTAATGCATTGATACAGCCCCTCCACCCCCTGCTTTTTTTTCCCCCCTAAAATAGTCCTGGAATTAACTTCCAGCTCATCATCTCTGCTTGTCATTGTTGTGTGCTGTTGATTCCAATTCAGAGTGATCCCACAGGACAGAGGAGAACTACCCCATAGGGTCTCCTAGGCTATAATCCTTATGGGAGCAGACTGCGAGGTCTTTTCTCCTGCAGGGTTCAAAGTGCCAACCTCTCAGCAGCTGAGCACTTAACCATTGTGCCACTAGGGCCCCTCACCCTTGATTACCATTTAAAAAAATCAGGTATGGAAATGATCACCTACAGTAGGTTTCCTTAGGGTTAGGATAGCTAGCTTAACCTTAGGGTGGAAACATCCTAAAAGTCAGAACAGTCTCTATTAGAATTCTATTAGAACGCAAAGGGAATAGCTCTAGCTCTAGCTCAATTCTTAGAATCCACTGTTTTTAAAAACGAGAAAACAGAAGTGAATTGCTCAAGGCCACACAGGTGGCAGAGAGCACTTCTTAGACCAGTTTTGTTTTGTTTTGTTTTTTCCTTACAATATTATTAAAGTGATAAGGGAAAGAGGTATTTATTTTTTTCCATGATGGGGAGTTAGTACTGAAGCCTTTTCTACTCTGCTATTGTGTGTATATGTTAGCATTAAAAAAAAAAAAAAAACTCACTACCATCAAGTCGTCCCAACTCATAGAGACCTCTCCTTGGGTTTCTGAGGCAGTATCACTACGGAAGTAGATTGCCCACCTTCCTTCCCAGGAGTGGTTGGTGGGTTTGAGCCTCCAACTTTCTGGTTAGCAGTCAAATGCCTTAGGCACTATGCCACCAGAGCTCCTGTGTTAGCATTAGGTAAAAAGGAAAAAATATAGAGAGAGACAGATAGATATTATTAATTGTTTAATAAAATCAGAAGATGGACCAATTCCGACCAATTCCATCTAGACCATTAAGTTAGAAGCAGTATTCAGGTTCTTTTTCATACTTTCCTCTTCCTTGAAGAAAGATGGTTAAGATATTAGGCTCTCTTCTCAAAGGGCTGCATTTCATGTTTGGAGTTCAATGAGAGTGTGAAAAGTTCAGTGTTAGGGCAGAGCATGCATGCTTTTCCATTCATGGGATGCTGGGATGTGCTAGAAACTGGACTGAAGTATAGTAGTACTTGTCACATCCCAAAGTAATCTGTACCTGAAGTTCCCATGGACCGCATGTATGGAAACCTAAAACAATAACCCTACTTTGTGGTTGTTCCCTTGCAGGTGAAACTCTGGTCTTAGAGGTAGTTGAGGAGACTTTCAGGGTTTGGTGAATGTAGTACAGCTTTACAACCAGTTTGTCTACATTCAAATATTGGCTCATTCATTTACTAGTTCTTTACTAGTAACCTTTCAAGCTTTTCAACCACTCAAAGGTGGCTTCCATGCCTGTTAAATGAAGAAAACTTGTGCAACCTGTAGAGTAGCTGAAAAGATGAGACATGATTGTAACGTGCCTTAAAATGCCTGGAATCACATTTCTTTTTTAAAAACCTGAGCCAACAGTCCAAGTATAGAGTACTCTGAAGCCCCGAGATCAATAAGAAAGAAAAAGACTCTCTTTCAGGAGCTTACCATTTGGTGTGAGACAATGTGTTATGTGGCCCCAAGGATTTGGATCATGGGGAGGTTATACCTGGAGAAGGTGTAAGAAGGAGATGGGAATGATGCCAGAAAAGTAGCCAAGAGTTAGATTGTGAAGAACGTTATGTGCCCAGCTGTGCAGTTCGGGTGGTCCCCTGCAGACAAAGAAGAGTTGTGGATGGTACGTGAGCAGGTGTGGGTGTGAACAGCTTCATATTTTAGAAAGTTCACTCATACGGATGGAGTGGAGCAAGGAGGGTAAGATAAATGGCCATTGCAGTAATCCAAATGAGAAATGATGAAGATTCTCACCATAGCAGTAGAAACAGCAAAGAGGAAACTGTTTACAGAGCGCACTGAGAAGGTAAAATTGAAAGAATTTGGTGAGCCAATCAGTGTATGTGTTAGGGATATGAGTCAATTAAGGGGAATTGTGAGAAATACCGAAGAGTCCCAGATGGGCTCAGGACTTGAGGTTTGTGTGGTTGGTTAGTCAGTGATGCCATTGAGGGGAATGATGACTAGGACAGAAGAATCAGATTTGGGAGCACAATTGGGCAGGGATAGGGAGGAGGGAGCAAGTTTGTGTGGGGACCTGTTGAATTTGAGATATAATTGGAGAATCTCAATGAATTGCTGAAGCTACACTTTTGAAGCTTAGATGATAAATTTGAAATATGAATTTGAGAGCTCATAGGTGGATGGTGAATCCTTGACCAGGGATGAGATTGTGTGGAATGCAGAGGTAAAAGTAACCTCAACACTTAAAAAAGGAGGAACAAGGAAAGAGAATAAGGAGGAGTGAGCACTGAGGATAGAGAAGAACCAAGAAGGAGAAGTGTTTCATTGACAAAATGAAGAATTCCAACAATGTGGGAGTAATAAATAGTATTGAGAAAACTGAGTGTGTGTGTGTGTGTGTATGTATGTACATATACATACATACACACACACACACAAAGAATGAGGATGAAAATGACACTGTTTATTCAGCCATTAGGTGAATTATTTTCTGTGATCTGTAAAGTTTTTTTTAAGTATCATTTATTTTATTTTTGTTGTTGTTGAGAGTATATTTAGCAGTACACACACCAGTATAATTGTATAATTCAGTAACATTGATTATATTCCTTGAGCTATGGAACCATTCTTACCCTCCTCCTCTGAATTATTCCTCCCTCATATAACATAAACTCACTGCCCCCTAGGTTTTGAATTGCTGTGGTCAATTTGATCCCATAGAGATAGATCTTAAAAGAGCACAATGTTCAAGGCAGATATTCTCACAGAATGGTGAATTCCAAATCAATGATTACAGATCACTAACCCCACTATGGGAAAGGTGCTTTGAATAGTGCCTACCCAGATATACTGAATCAGAATCTATGCTTTAATAAGATCTCCAGGTGATTCTTACAGATTCTTATACATAAGAATCACCTAGGGATCTTGTTACAATGTAGATTCTGATTCAGTATACTGGGGGTGGAAATGCAGATTGCCAGCAGGGAGTTGAACCCAAATAAACCAGTTCTCAGACGAGATTTGAAGGAAATCCTCTTCACTTTCTTTTCATCAGTTTAAGAAAGGTGATGAGTAGCTCTTCTGCCCAGATTAAGATGAACCCTGCAATTTATCCATGGAAACAAACATAACACCTAACAAGAAGTCCAAAGCAGATTGTAATTTCAAGATTAGATTTCATACCATCCATTCTCCTTGCCTTTCATCACATATCAGGCCTCATCAAATAGTTTCAGCATATCTGTGTCACTCTAGAACATGCTCAAACATAACCAAAATATAACCCTAAATATACTGCCATCAAGTCAATTCCAACTCATAACAACCCCCATTGGGTTTCCAAGCTGTAAATTTTTACAGAAGCAGACTGCCTCATCTTTCTTCCTCAAAGCAGCTGGTGGGTTCAAACAGTTGTCCTTTTGGTTAGCAGTCAAATGCCTTAACTACTACACCACCAGAGCTCCTGCCCAAACATAATGTGATTCCAAATAAGGTAGTCTCTCATTTCCCAATGGAAAGATCCAAAGAGAAATGCTTTTGGGCAACTTGATTATGAAAATATTTAGTGACACAGATGCAGTAGTGAAATGTATCTTTATATTTAACTTAGTAAATTAATTATACAGACATAATTTTTTAAATAATATACTAGTGTAAACCAAAACCAATCTCACTGTCATGGAGTCAATTCCAACTCATAGCAATCCCTTTGGGTTTCCAAGGTGGCAAATCTTTATGGAAGTAGATTGCCTAGTCTTCCTCCTATGGAGTGGTTGGGGGGTTTGAACCACCAACCTTCTGTTTAACAGTCAAATGCCTTAGGAATTGTGCCACCAGAACTCCTTATACTAATGTAGAGGTATGGA